TAGCAAGAGCCTCTTTATCGAGTTGGCTGTAGTTTCTTTCAGTCTTCGATAAAGTTCGTGAAAAGAAAGCAATAGGTGCTTCATTTCCGTTTGGTAGGACATGACTTAAGATGGCTCCTACCCCAAATGGTGAAGTGTCGCAGGTGACCGTTAACGGCAAAGTCTCGTTATACTGCATTAATACAGCGTCTGAGGTTAAGAGATTTTTTACTTGCTGGAACGCTCGTTCTTCCCGATATCCCCAGACCCAGGAAGCTTTCTTGTCGAGTAGTCTATGTAGGGGCTCAGCTACAGTCGCCTTCTGGGGCAAGAAGATGTTATAAAAGTTAATGAGTCCCAGGAAGGCTTGGAGGTCTGTTTTATTCTTGGGTCTTGGGGCGTTTTTTATTACCGTTACCTTTTTTTCAGTGGGATGGATTCCTTTTTTGTCAAGAAGGTACCCCAGGAACTCAACCCTCTCCGTACAAAGTTGACACTTGTCCTTTTTTACTTTCAACCCGGCGTTTTTAAATTTCTGAAGAACCGTTCTGAGTCGTTTCTCTAATACGTCTTTAGTGGGGGCAGCTATCAATACATCATCGAAATAAGGCACAACTCCTTTTATGCCTTGTAGCAGTCTCTCCATCAGGCTTTGGAAAATGCCTGGTGCTACACTCACTCCAAACTGGAGTCTATTACATTTAAATGCACCTCTGTGCGTGACTATAGTCTGGGCCTCAGCAGTTTCTGCATCTATGGGTAGTTGCTGGTATGCCTGGGCTAGGTCCAATTTTGCAGATATTTTTCCGCCACCCAGGGAGTGAAGAAGATGTTGGACCACAGGTACTGGGTAAGCGCTCTGCTGAAGTGCGTGATTTAGGGTGGCCCGGTAATCCCCACAAATTCTTATAGATCCATCAGGTTTTATGGGAGTTACAATTGGGGTTTCCCAACGGGCGTGATCGATTGGTTCTAACACCCCCTGAGCTATTAATTTGTCCAATTGTTCATCAATCTTTGGCTTGAGTGCGAAAGGCACTCGACGAGGCTTAAGGCGGATGGGCGCAACATCGGGGTTGAGGCTAAAGGATATGGGGGAACCCTTGTACTTGCCTAGTTTCTCGGTGAACACTTCCTGAAATTCCTGGATGAGGGCCGCTTCCCAATCACTGTTTCCGGTCTGGTGAATGCCCGCTAGTTCAATTCCCAGTGGAGTGAACCACTGTAACCCCAACAAGCTGGGTCGGTCTCGATCGACGATGGTAATAGGCAGAGTTGCGGTGCGGTCTCTGAAAGACACCTGGACGTGGCGGGAACCGGCAACAGGAATCCTGTTTCCCTGTTAGTCCCGTAATATGATTTTTTGGGTGCTGAGGTCCTGGCGACGGATGTCAGGGATCAGCTGCTTGAAGGTTTTCCACGAGACCATTGATAGGGACGACCCCGAGTCTACTTCCATTACGCATGGACGTTTCTCAATGGTGACCTTCACTCGGATCTTTCTTGCATCCAAGGATGATGCGTGACCAATGGTAATGGTTTGATGCGCCTCTTCTCGCCTAGCTGATGCAACAGGCACTCGAATTCTGTAGTGATAGTGGTTCCATTGGTGATTCAGACGGTTCTGATTTACAGGTGGGCTGCTCGTTGTTCTTCGGATTGGGCTTGATGCTCGCTTGCTTCTGCAAACCTTTGCGATGTGGCCCCTCTTTCCACAGGAACGGCAGAGTGTGTCAAGGAATTTGCAGTCCGATCGCGGGTGATTGGCCCCGCAACTGGCGCATTGACGTGCAGGTTTCTGGCTCTTCAGGTCTCGCTGGTCGCGCTCTGATCTGAGTCGGTTGACCTCTTCTTCCTCACTATCAGACGAGGATTCGAGGTCTTCATGGTGAGCCGTTGTTGAGTGCCTCTCGGAAAAAGGCGTAGTGTCACTGGCGAGTTGGCGGAGCGGTGCGTTGGTGCAGCGCATTCGAGCGGCCGACTTCCTGGTTGCTTCTGCTGCAGTAGCGTCGGCGATGACATCTGCGAGGTCGATGTCCCCTTTAGCCATGATCTTGCTCTGCACAGTGTGGTCATCTAATCCCAGAACTATGCGGTCTCTCATGGCTTCCTCGAGGTTTGCAAAACCACAGAGGCCTCCCAGGTTCTGGAGGTCCGCGATGAAGTCCCCAACGCTCTTGTTTTTCCGTTGGTCTCTCTGGTAAAATTCGTGCCTTCGGATAAGCGTTGGTACCGCGGGTGCATAATGGGCTCGGAGGATCGGTGCGAGGGTATCCCAATCCATTGTTTTAACTTCCGCTGGTTTAGCAAGTGCCTTAGCCATTTTAAAAACGGCAGGCCCGCAATGGGTCAGGAAGATTGCTCGTTTCTTGCCAGGCGCAGCGTCTTTCAGGTTGTTGGTCTCCAGGAACATCTGGAACCTGTCTATATACGAGTCCCAGTCTTCATTAGCCAGGTCAAATGCAGCGGGTGGTACGGCGCCCCTGGCCATCTTGCCGTTGTTGGCGCTCTCTCAGCCATGTGCTCTGTTCGGTGCTCAGCGAGTGCTCAGTCAGCTCTATCGTCTCCGAATCCCACCCTCGTTGCCAGTGTTAGATCTGGAGGTATGGGCGCAATAACGGAGATGAGGCATCTATAGTGACTCAACTCAACACTTTAATAGTGACTTCAGAACAGAGCAAAAGCAAGGGCAGCAGCAGCTCTTTTATAGACCTAGCTGCTGTCACAACAACCAATGAAATTGAAGTAACTGCTCTAAAAGCATCCAATCGGCGACGGCCCGTTGTCAGCCAATCAGGTCAGCCAGAATCGGCCAATCATGATTCGCTTATCCGCGGGCCAATCAGAAGTGCAGGCTTACAAGCCTGCTCCTGAAGTAAGCTAGTATAGTTTTTGACGAATGAGTTTATTATTTCGTAACACTTCAGGTCTTCTCACATCCCCTCCAGACTCCACCAACTGGACTTGAGACTTCACACCTAAAAAGAAAGATGCTTCAATGAGATCTCCTATATACAGGAATAGCAAAGGGAAGGAAACTTGACATAGTATGAAACATTACCTCCAAGGGATGCAAGAAAGAATACCAAGTTTAGCCACAGGGTCATTTTGGCTCCCTCTAACGAATGGAGGGGAATTGAAAGGAGAGATTTTGAGAAAATGCACAACCTTTGTGTTGGTGATTGTCACTGGAAAAGGGAAACCAATTGTTGCCTTTAAAAGGGAAATTGTGCCTTCATTTACATATTGGTTAATATAAAAGAGTTTCTCAGAGCAGGGATTTCAAAGTTGTCCTCGCACACTCACTACACATTTGATTTTTACACAATTTTCCAGCCCAATGAAAAATGAAGCAGCCTTTACAGAAGAGGAAGTAAAACAAAGACCAATATCATTTTTGTTTTAGATGCTAGCTTGTGTGGTGTTTTTATTGGTTGTTACTTGCCCAGAGGTCTCCTGCTTCGGCGGGAGGTTGGACTAGATGACCTATAAGGTCCCTTCCAAATCTGTTAATCTGTTAAAGTGTCAAACCTTTCCATTTTTGGGCCTATAACAATCTCCCTGTAGTTGCTAATTATAAAAATATAGCTTCATTATTATTTTTATTTCCCTGTCGATTACTACAAAAATAAAAGTCTCAATTGTAGCTTAACAAAATCTTCTGGATTAATGTACATATATGTAATCCACATTTTTGGGGGATGATTTTTTTGCATGGCCACCAAACCTGACAAAACATTCCTCTATGTTGTTTTCATTTCCATCAAAGATTTGAACTACCTGGACAGTTTTTCTGATGACAAAAGCAGAAATGATACACATCCTTTTTTTTTTTTTTTTTTAATAACAATTCTCTGCTTGATAGGGAGTACTGTAGCCTCCTGAAAGGTGGACTTTTCTTCACAGATTTTCAGGGAACAATTACAGAAACAACACTTCCAAAATCAGACGATATCTATTTAGAATTAATTCATTCCCTCCCCCACCCACACCCATAAGCCATGCAATTTCATTTGTCAACATTGCCCCCTGGTGTCCAAAATGGGGAGAGGATATATATTTCAAATTAGTATGGACCACAACATGTCAAAATATCTCCTGATTTATAGATGGTGGTCAGAATAACCATCAAGCAATGATGACAAGACAGTCCAAAGTATACAGATCCAGAAGGCTTCTTGAGAGGAGAAATGTGTAATTGTCAATATCTGACAGTCTTGGGACAGACCAGTTGAGGGGAGAAAGCTTTAGGCAACAGGGGATTTTATACAGATTTAAGAAGGACAGAGACTCAGGTTTAAGCATACTCAGAATAAATTAATGGAGAAGGAATGGAAAATGAATAACATGTAGGAAAGTATGAGACTGGGGATATTCAGCAAGGAAAGAAATAAAAGGACTGTAAGGTTCTGCCTCGCCAGTCTTCTCAAGAAAGAAAAACTCTTGAAAAGAATTGGATTTCAAAAGGAACTTTTATTGGAAGACAGTGGTAGCAGAGAGAGTTTAGGAAGACTCTGAATTTTATGTGTTGGAGTGTTAGGTTAAACTGCCCCTTTTGAGGCCCCTCCCAATGTCCAGTTCACCTTTGATCCAATCCCAAGGTATGAAGATGTTATGAGAACTTTGGGCTGAGAAGGTGATAACAAGCAGTTCCCAATTGTTCCACCTCTGGTGCAGTGGTGGGATCCAAAAATTTTTACTACCGGTTTCTGTGGCCGTGGCTTGGTGGGCATTGCAGGGGAAGGATACTGTAAAATCTCCAGTCAGAGGTGGTATTTGCCGGTTCTCCAAACTACTCAAAATTTCCACTACCGGTTCTCCAGAACGGGTCAGAACCTGCCGAATACCACTTCTGCTCTGATGGTGAGACAAAACAGATGGGCCAAGGCACATTCCCCCACCCCACCAACATCCCAGAGGCACATTAAAGCAGGGAAAGGAGCAAAGAAAACCCCATGCAAACATGACCCAAATTGTCCCCTCTTCCATGAGAAACACAAGGTCCCTATAGAGATTAATGGGACCTGAGTATAAGCATAAGCTTTTCAAAACTAGAGAAAGATCTTGACAGGCTTCAGATTCACTTCCTCTCACTGTGTCTCCCACACAGTAATAGATTGCCATGTCCTCTAGTTTGAGGCTGTTCATTTGCAGATACAGCTGGCCTTTGGCATCGTCCCTGGAGATGGTGAAGCGGCCCTTGACTTTGTCTGAGTAGTAAGTACTTGAACCAGCAGTTATCCATGCCACCCATTCCAGGCCTTTCCCTGGAGCCTGTCTCACCCAGTGCATGCCATAGCTGCTGAAGCTGAATCCAGAGGCTTGGCAGGAGAGACGGAGGGACTCCCCAGGTCTTCTCACATCCCCTCCAGACTCCACCAACTGGGCCTCAGATTGTACACCTGAAAAGAAGGATTTTTCATTGAGATTTCCTGTATATAAGAACAGAAATTGAAAGGAAACTCTAGATAGAGTGAAACATTACCTGCAAGGAGTACAAGGAAGAACAAACAGTTTAGGCTCAGGATCATTTCTGCCTCTCTTTAAAAAATGGACGATATATGACATAAAAGATTTGGGAAAAACTTTGTCTCGGTGGTTGTAAACGGTTGCCTTTTAAAGGGGGTCTTGTGATTTCATTTACATATTGCTTGAGATAAAAGAGTTCTTCAGAGCAAAATTTTCATAGTTCTCCTTGCACAGGCCCCGCACAGTTGATTTTTAAGCAATTTTCCAGTCCAAAGAAAAATGAAGCAGTCATTATAGAAGAGCAACTGAAACAAGGACTTGCAATATTTCTTCACTTCTTGTAGTGTACTTGTTTCACAGACTTGTAATACTGCATTCCTATTGGATAGATACCATCGCTGGGCGATTGGTCGGTAACAAGAAACCTGATTGGCCGCATAAGCGGCGGGAAGTTTAAATAAACGCCATTGGTTGCGAGCCGCAAGCAGCCGCTATAAAAAGTCATTGGCAAAACCGAACGACGTTAAACAAATGGCATGGCCAAACCTGAACCGAATGCTGAGAAACCATTATGCACCTGTCATGTCCAACCTCATTTGAAGACACGAGTTTTACGAACGGGATCAACAAGAAGGCAAGAGTATTGGTGACTTCGTAGCAGCACTAAGGGACATTGGGGGGGCATGTGAGTTCCTCAACATGGATGAAGCCATGAGGGATCGTATAGTCCTTGGATTGAGAGACGCCACCCTGCAGAGCAAACTACTAAACCGACCCAATATTACCGTAAACGAAGCCGTCGCTGAAGCAACCACAGCCGAAGCAGCAAAAAAATCCGCGGCAAAAATGAAACAGATGAATATAGCCAACAGCCCAACCTAGAGTAGAGAAAAGAAGGCGGAAGGTACCCAGAAACACACCACCGCAACTACCCACCATGAAGGCATCGAGTCATCAACTTACTCTGAAGCAGACGATGAGGAGGTAAACAGACTCCAATCAGAGCAAAACCAACAGGAAAGGAGAAGTAAGAAACCTCATTTCCAATGTGCAGGATGCAGGGGAAATCACCCACGTTCGGAGTGCCGTTTCTTAGATGCCATCTGTAGGCACTGTGAAAAACGGGGGCACATTGCAAGGATCTGCCAAAACAAAAAGAGCTATAGTCCAAAGAGGAGAGGCAGTACACACACCCCAGAACTAAGGAGAAGCACACCGGAAATCGATGGAACAAAGAAAATAGAAGCCAGAGACTCCATGAGAAGGAAGAAACACACCAGACACTTATTATTGGGAACGCCAGAGCATCAGCTGCCAAAAAAGTTCGAGTAAATGTCAAGATAGAAGGGAAGCCCTGCGAAATGGAAGTGGACTCCGGTTCATATTTGTCAATGGTATCATGGAACACAATAAAAAACTTGATACCAGACATACGATGAAAAGAACTTGAAGAACAAAGTCTAACATTAAAAGATTACCAAGGAAATAGAATTCCGGTAGTTGGATTGGGACATTTCAAGGTAAATTTCAAGAAACACACTGAAATTCTACCACTGACCATCGTTGACCGAGACCGCCCAAGCCTGCTCGGTTTAGAATGGTTCACGCCATTGGGAATCGAAGTGACAGGGATCAACAGCATTGCTGAAACAGACTGGGAGAAAGAACTGATGGAGGAATTCCGAGACGTTTTTGATGGAACTTTAGGCAAGTACTGTGGGACTCCTATTTTGTTTAGCCTAAACCCGAAAATAGCCCCCATCAGATTAAAAGCCAGAAACGTTCCTTTTGCGTTAAAGCCAAAGATCGATGAGCAACTGAACAAACCCATCGCACAAGGGGTGTTAGAGCCAGTCGACCATGCCAGATGGGAAACCCCGATTGTGACCCCCGTGAAACCAGATGGGTCTGTGCACGTCTGCGGTGACTATAAGGCTACCCTGAACCACGCATTACAGCAGAGCGCATACCCCGTCCCCGTAGTCCAACATCTTTTACATTCGCTGGGGGGAGGAAAAATCTTTGCAAAACTCGATCTCGCACAGGCATATCAACAATTGCCAGTTGATTCCGAGACAGCAGAAGCACAGACTATCTTAACACACAGGGGAGCTTTTAAATGCAACAGATTACAATTCGGTGTCAGCGTAGCCCCCAGTGTGTTCCAAAGCCTGATGGAACGCCTCCTTCAGGGACTAAAAGGAGTAGTTCCTTATTTCGATGATGTATTAATATCAGACAAAAATAAAAAACAACTAAAGGACCGGCTGTGGGCAGTTTTGCAAAAGCTTAGAGAAACAGGATTAAAAGTCAAAAAAGAAAAATGCCAACTCGTCACGAATCAGGTGGAATGCCTGGGCTATCTTATTGATGAAGCAGGAATCCACCCCACACCAAAAAAAATAAAGAATTAAAGCAATTAAAGAAGCACCCAGACCCAAAACCAAAATGGATTTACAAACATTCTTAGGATTCATTAATTTTTATATATTTTTTTGCTGCAGAAGGCAACCATTGCGGAACCACTGCATAGACTACTCGATAAAAAGGCTGTTTGGAAATGGGGTCAACAAAAAGAGACTGCGTTCCAAAGAATTAAAGAGTTAATTACATCTAAATCAGTATTGATCCAATATAGCAACACGCTTCCACTAACTGTCACTTGCGACGCTTCACCATTCGGCGTAGGCACAATACTGAGTCACACACTCCCTGATGGCAGAGAAGCACCAATCACTTTTAATTCCAAAACACTATCCAAAGCCAAAAGAAACTACAGTCAGCTGGATAGAGAAGCATTGGCTGCCATCTCGGGGGTAAAACGCATTCACGAATACCTTTAATTACCAATCACAAGCCACTACTTGGAATCCTGGCAGGAGACAGGGCCACTCCAAACATCCTGTCTCCAAGAATGACAAGGTGGTCAGAATTCTTGGCAGCCTACAATTACAAACTCATCTATCGGCCAGGTAAAGCCATACCCCACGTTGACGCATTAAGCCGCTCACCCTTACCAGACCACGATGATGATCCGGCACCAATGACAAGCACCCTGCAAATTGAAACAATATCGAACCTGTTGTGAATCAATAAAAGTGAATAACTTAAATGCAAATGAGGGGTTGAAAACCTGCACACCTGATTGGTCCTCATACAACTTGGGATTGGGCCAGAACCGGTCCCTGATTGGTCACTTTTGGGACTGTCCTTATTGGTCAGTAGTTGGAACCTGTTGCGCATTTTCATTGGTTAATAAGGCAGCAGCTAACCCTATAAAAGGGTTACTGCTGCCCATAGCTCTGCTCTGTTCCATTCTGATTCCTGTTATTATTAAAGAGTTGAAGTCACTGGTCAGATGTCTGGTCTCCTTATTCCCCAAATATAACAGAACCTACCACTCACTGCATCGGACATCGCAAGAGAAACCGCTAAAGACACACAATTGGCCCGACTCCTGAACTGGGTAGGGAGGGGTTGGCCAGAAAATGAAAAAAACAAGACTTTTAAACCTTTCAAAAACTGCCAATCTGAACTGTCAATCGAAAAAGGATGCATTTTGTGGGGGGAAAGAGTAGTCGTTCCAAAAAAATTAAGAGAAGATGTACTGAATATGCTACATGAGGGACACCCTGGCATGGTGAAAATGAAGTCCCTGGCCAGAAGCTATGTCTGGTGGCCAGGAATTGACAAGGACATCAAAAACTGAGTAAGAACCTGCCACATGTGTCAGTCATCCAGACCTACCCCCCCCCTTTAGCACCAATCCTTGACTGGGAGACACCCAGAGGTCCCTGGTCAAGGATCCACATAGACTTCGCCAGACCTACAAAGGGGTATACATATTTAATCTTCGTTGATGCATACTCGAACTGGTTAGAAGTCTGCATCATGAGTTCAACAATGACTGAAGCTGTCACCAAACAACTTAAAAAACTTTTCGCCACCCACGGTATCTACCAGATGTAGTAGTATCGGACAATGGGCCACAGTTTACAGCTTTAGCTTTCGAACAATTCCTCTCAGAGCAAGGAATACGACATGCTCTGACGGCGCCAGCACATCCAGCGGCGAACGGAAGGGCGGAATGCATGGTTCGTTACACGAAAGAAGCATTAGAAAAAATCGAGGGATGCGACATGCAAGACAAAATCAACACCATGCTCACCATCCAACATATAATGCCATGCACATCAACAAACAAGAGCCCAGATGAACACTTAATGGGCAGAAAATTGCGCTCATTCTTGGACAGACTGCACGCAACTTACAACCCTGAAAAACCACCAGACTCCTCAAGTAAGTACCGCACTTTTATACCAGGCGACCTGGTATACGCAAAAAATCTTACAGGAGAACTGTTGTTGCTACTGGCCACAATTACACAAATTACGGGCCCATGATCGTATCGGCTAGAAACATCAGACAGCAGATCGTGGAAGCGCCACATTGATCAATTAGGGTCTCGATACATCGAACGAAACACCAATACACCCCAAAGCATAGAAAAGGCATACCCACAAGAACAAACGAACAATAATTACAAAACTTTAAATAATAAAGGAAAGGAAAACTCCCCCTTAACAAACCACAAACCAGAAACGGAAAAACCACAAAGAAATAAAAACTACTTAGCAACAGACGAAATCCAAAGAAAAGAGCTGAAGGAAATCCAGGAAAGGAGCAGCCAAGCCGACTCGACCAAACTGCACACATCCGAGGAGAATGGCAGCGCCCATCCAACAAACCCAAGGAGGCACGGCGGGAGCGGCATGGCTGAGTCATCCTTCCAGGAGGTTCCAAGGAGAAGACCAGGGAGGACGGCAGGCCTGACCGAACCGGCCGAAGAGAACGCAGAGACTGAACTGCGCAGGTCAACTAGGACACACAGAAGCCCTGCCTACTTACGCGACTATGTAACGTAACGTTAAGTCAAACCAAGAGGGGAGGGGTGTAGTGTACTTGTTTCACAGACTTTTAATACTGCATTCCTATTCGATTGATACCATTGCTGGGTGATTGGTCAATAACAACAAACCTGATTGGCCGCCTAAGCGGTGGAAAGTTTAAATAAACGCCATTGGTTGCGAGCCGCGAGCAGCC